AACTATTCCCATCCCCACCCCATGCGTGATGGCAGAACCAGGTCTTCAGTCTTTTTCTGAAGTCTAAGAGGGAGGGGGCCAACCTCACTTCTGGGAGAAGGGTGTTCCAAAGGGCAGGGGCTGCTGCAGAGACGGCTCACCTCCTGGACCCCATCAGATGAAATTCTCTTGCAGACGGGGTCCGTAGCATGCCCTCTCCGCATGACCAGGTGGGACGGGTTGATGTGACGGGGATGAGACGGTCCTTCAGGTAATGGCTACAGTAGGTGGAAATCATATTACATACAGCATGGGTTCTCTGCGTCCCCCCTACCCCCCACTGTTGTTTCTTTCCTTTGTTTTTATAACTAAGAAAAATCTGTTTCAGGAGTGATGCTGACAATCTTGTCCATTCCCCACCAATAAAATGAAATCTGTTGTGGTTGAAGAGAACTGTGTAAAGTTCAAAAAAGGGGCTTGGGGACTACAGTGAGCCCTGCAGCCTCAGATTATGCAGCTGTGAAATACTGTAATATGTTTGTTCTTCAATCAAAGTGGCAGCAATGCCTAATGCCAAGAGAGAAGAAGAAAAATAGGGAAAGATAAAGATAAAGATAAAGGAAGGTGGGCAGATAGGCTTTGTTACCCAGAGGCATTATTGGTATGTGTAGGTATCAGAAGGTATCCTTCTGAGATCCACCAGTGGAGGCTTCCTTACCCATCATGCTTTGCCATTCCCCCTTCCCCTCTCTGGGGAGGGGAAGACATAGGGATGTGGTGAAAATATACTGGGCAAGACAATCTGAGTTTTGGGTCCCCAGCACTCCGTTTTACAGTATAGTCTGCCTCTTAAGGACACTACTTCTGACATCAGTTAAGTGTCATACCCATACCAACAACGGCTAATTGGTCATAGCAACAGATGAAAACAAACTTGTACTGGACAATGCACAATTAACAAGGCAGCAAGTTTTTGGTGAAGCCAAGTTAATAGGGCTGCTCTTCTGCCATTTGTCATCAAGGACATTCCTCAGTTACAGTTTTGAATTCCCCTTATTATTTTTCCCAAATATACGTTATTTTTAATTCCCTTTAAGTATCTTGGCGAACCATTAATGTAGTAAAAACTTCATTTGAATTAAAAGGTATTCCAAATGTGACATGATTTCTATCCGCCTTTTCTCCTGAATTTTTATAAGCATCAGTTTTTAATTCTTTCTGCTTTTAGGCAAAGATGTAGGAACAAAATAAGGGATTACCCTAAAACAGCCCCCTGCTCCTGGAGTTTGAGCACTACCCAAGGCACCAGGGCTTAATGCTCAGCCCCCTTGGCAGTAATTAACATCAGGAATATAAACAGCTGTTTCTCCACCTACTTTCAGGGCCAGTGCTTTCTCAACAGATGTAAAATGGTGTAAAAGATCTGCCTTGGTGCCATGTCATGTGCTACGTGCAGTACAGTACGAAAAACATCCTCCTACACAACACAGTTATCATTAGCTACTATCTTCCCATGATGTATGTAACACTCGGAGTAAGTTGCAGGACTGTTCTCAACCACTCTTACTCACAACCTGCAATATGGAGATATTAGGGATATTTGAATGGTTTTCATGAGCTCCTGACTATAAATATGGAAATAATAAATATGATGGTTTTTCATATTTAAGATGGTCTTAATTAATCTGGAAACGTGTTTACATTTCCTAAATTCATGGCATGGGAACGTTTTGAAAAATTCCATTTTATTTTATTAAGCCTTGCTGTTAACGAGAGCAGCGACTGGACTATGAGGCAGTACAGTAGTAGCACAATTTTTAGTTAACGTATAAGCAGGAATAAACCACACGGACATTATTCATACGAAATAAGAAGTGAGCTAGAAAGCACATTAAATCCAGCCTCATGGAGCCGAGAGGCTACTTCCGCAACCTGCTTCACTCCACTGGCAATGCTAGCTTAAAAGCAGTGATGGGAATTGTAGTCCAACACCTCCATTATAATTATTGTCTGCCCCATCCCTGATGGGTTCGACGCTTCCTGGGTTCCTCTACCATCTCTTATGTTGAACTGTCGCTTTTATGCCGACAACGAGATGGACAAAATGGGTCAAAAACCCCTAAAACCACCTCTTCCATGACAAATAGAGCACCTGCAAGCGGCGCGTTTTATTTAGAGCCCAAACCAACTACATTGGGCTGCAGATATCCGGGCGTCGCTAGGAGGCAAACGAGAGCACACAACCCCCAAGCGCACTCCCGCTTTGCTGCCGGCTCGCGGCTGTCCGAAGCCTCGCAGCCCAGATCTCAACGCCAAGGCCTGGTGCGGTTGCGCTTCGCCGCCTAGCCCTCGGCCACGCCCCTTGTCTTCGCGAGCCGTGAGTGACGTTATCGGGGCCCGGCTTCAGCCTCTCTCGGCCCCGGTGCACGGAGGCGGCGCGAGAGCAAACATGGCGGCCGTGACGACGGTAGTTGCGCTGGTTATGGCAAGCGCGGAGAGAAGCGGCGCAGCAGCTGCCACACCAGCCGCCCCCGGAGCTCGCCTTCCACGA